CATGTTTTGGGGAAGCCTCTAATGTCTTGCTTGTTTTAAAGCTCTGTAGCATAAATGCATACACAAATTATTAGGGTATATAGAAGTACCTTTCAACCCTTCCTTATACTATTTTATGTATATATTGCTAATGTGGAATATAAAGTGGAAGAAAGTCATTTTAAATGGATTCTAGCCAGTGTAGGTTTTACATTCACTTTGCAGATCTGGAAATGTAAAAAAGCATTTTGAGCCAATTGTGAGAATTTTCAGAGTTTTATATAATACGTGGATTGAATAGCATGTGGGGCAATTAATATAACATTGAGACATTAATGAGATAAGGGAACTATTTCTTCCCCCATACATTACACTGTTGATGTTTGGAACACTTTGACATGACATGTGATAAATAATGGGCAATATTACAAATGGATTTCATAAATATAGCATCAGCAGTTCTTGCTTAATAATGGCCTTATTCTGGAAAGAACAACAGTTCAGGAAGTGGCCGGGTTTTTTAATTGACTTGAACGACCAGTGGAGTCATCTGACTGTGTTTGTTACTGGACTATACTACTGGCAGGTGAGAGAAACAAGTATTTGAATGGTTCACCATATTTAAAAACAAAAGAGAACAAATTTTCCTGCATGCTCTCAGATAAACATACAACTAGTATATTCAGGATAATAACACACACTTATGGATTGCATAGACTGGCATTCAGATAAGCTGATCTATTACTTTTGTGTGCTAAAGTGCTCCATTTCTTTTATGTGGAGACAAAAAAGGGGCCTGATACTGCCCCACAGCCCCCCCCTCAGCACAAGAAGCTTAAGAAGGCAGTAATAGGCGTACAGTATTATATCTATACATTGCACCCTGGCTTTCCTCTGATTTAAGCCTCCTGAAGGTTCTTCAACAATCAGATTATGGGAGACAGTGATAGTGAGTAGATCACACCAGAAAAGCTGTAGCAAAGGATCATCTTGGTCTTAGTGTTTTCCTACTATTAGACTATATACCTTGTTTCTCTGAAAATAAGACCTAACCTGTATGATTTTTCAGGATCCTCATAATATAAACCCTACCCCAAAATTAAGCCCTAGTTAAGTGAAAGCCCACCCTCCATCATTGTGCAGCAACCAGAAGATGACATGACTGTATTTGAATAAACATAGATTGTAAATGAAAAAATTAAGCATCTCCTGAAAATAAGCCCTAATGCGTTTTTGGAGCAAAAATTAATATAAGACCCTGTCTTATTTTCGGGGAACCAGGGTACTAGCAGAGGTCTTCCATGGTGCAGGCAGGAGTACAAGAATGGGTCATGTTGCTTAGCAACTAAGTGAGGCCTAGAAAATCCTGCCTAAAGTAGCTGGAGTGTTCCCTTCCTTCAGTGCTATGTGTCTCTGTCATCCTGGTTGTGAAAACTTGTGTTTTGCTGAGCTTTTTGTCTGGACTCAGTAATTCAGATGTTGCTGTGGTTCACATCCACACCTTCATGAGGAGAATTTAATTTAATTTTATTTATTTATTTATTTTATTTATATCCCGCCTATCTGGTCGGTTAAGCAAACCAAACCAAACAAACAGGCATAAGGTGCCTTGTGTATTTTCTTAGCCCACGGAATGCTAAATTGTGAATTTTATTTAGCACATGTTACACTGGTATGACACACTCTATGTTTCCAGAGGCTGGTTCTGTTTGCTATGGTTTGAACCAGCGGCTTCAGCTGCCTGAGTCTGTGTGGTCAAATAAGCTGCCAGATGAGGTGATAACTTTGTAATAATGTGGGAGGAAAGTCTGTTCCTTTATGTTGAGAGATATATCAAGATATAGCCTTCACACACACAGGAAGGGGCTGGAAAATGTGAATGATTCCTTTTGAAGCTAATGCTGTGTTGTGTTCTTGAAAGCTGCACTGTTCCCTTCTGAGATCCAAACAGTGATCAAATGGATAGTTACAGGATGTTCATATTGATTATTTTACATCAGAAGGATATGTTTTCTAGACAGTTCATAGAGACTTGCTCCTTTCCAGGGGTGTGTGCATATAAATACCACCCAAGTGTGTGTGTCCATATAAAACCACCCAAGGTGCCAAGCTGAAAACTCCATTCTTCCAAGAAAAATATGCTGTTGACCCTGCAAAGTACTGATGCACCACTAGATTTTGGAAGAACTGTGGTCAGAGGGAGCTCAATCTAGTCCCCACCTGCTCCTTTTCAATCCATCTGGAAGGAGCAACCCCATGCCCCACAATCTGCATCAGCACATAGCCCTTTCCTGTTCCATGTTTCGTTTTTCCTTGCCTAGTTGCTGCAGACAAGACTCTTTTGTATGCTAAAGCCTCACCACTCCGGTGGCAGCAGGGCAGTACTGTACTGTTCTGTTTTATTTCTCTTGGCTAGTGGCCTGTAGGAGGCCATAATGGCTAGTTCAGAATCATTTGAAATGAACAGTAGGGAGCTTTCACATAATACTTCAGAGTGGAAGTTCCTGAACCTTTCAGCATTACACCATGATTTGATTTTCTGAGAAATACTCACACTTTCCCACTTCTCTTTTATTACCACTGAAACCCCTTTAAAGCAAACTAGTCTGTAATTTAAGTTTTAAAACAAACATAAAAACTTGTGAAAGATTATTTCAAATTAAAAAAAATAAGCACAAGTTGTTTTTCTTGAGAAATCCTGAAGTCTAGTACTGATCTGATATAGTTCGTAGTCTCATGTCCCCTTGAAATGCCCTTATCTTTCCTCCCCCCCCCCACCTTCAGTTTGAAAACCAAAGCTCCATAGGATTTGGAAACTGAGAAATTGTTTCTTCTTGTTTGCCTTCAAAGTGGGTTGCAAGTTTATACATTTTTTTGTTTTCACCTGGCCTTCAGGCTTTCCTCTTAGTGCAGGGGTAAAAAACCTGTGGCTCTCCGTATGTTGTGGGTGAGGACTACAACTCCAATCATCCCCAACCGTTGGCAAGTCTGGTTTGCAAAAATGGGAGTTATCTGAAGGAGATTAATTTTAGTGGCCAATATACAGTATAGTTATTTTGGTTGTTCTTCCTTTTTATTACTATAATTTAAGTTTCCTCCCCTGTCATTGGTGCCATTGTTATAAAACTGTGGCCCATATCTTATTTAGGAAATGTGGAATGGAAGGGCAAATAGGTGAGCATTCCTCCCTCTCTGGCCATCTCTACGTTGTGTGCCTGGTCTTCCACTGACACAATTGCCCTTTCCCTCCCAATTAGGTACAAGCCTTTATCTTCTAGGTCTCTACTATATTGACAGCATTCAGGGCGGCAATTGTAAAGTGCTTTGAACACATTTTGGAAGACATACATTTTAAGAATGAATTAGTGAATGAATATGGGCTGACACAGAAGTTATTTTTAAGCTACATCTCTCCATTAGAAATGCAGTCTACACCTGCAAACAGTATCATGTGAGAACCCAGAAATCTTAGCAATACAGTAGCACCTTCCACAGTCTTTAAGATTTCAGGGAGGAACAAGACAGTAGAACCGTCTGATTCTTTTGCCAGTGTGTGATTCTTATTTGAGATTCATTAACTTACCTCCCCATCCAGCACTTACAAGCATCTTTGTAGGATATGGCACTGGAGGTCCCTCATTGTTCTGGGCTGGTTTGGAAGGTGGGAACAGAAGCACAAGGGAAGGGCATACATGTAAGGCCATATCCAACACCACGATTTTATCACTCTATGCTTTCAGGCATATGGAAAGAGCTAAGATCAACATTTGCTCTGATTTTCAGCTCCATTGGGTGGAAGCCTCAACCCGTGCGCGTATGTGGGGCCAGGGTTCCAGCTGAAAATGGAGCTAAAGAGGTGCCAACTCCAGCTGCCAGTGCACAGCTCCGATGGAGTTCTGCACATGTGCACACACAGCTTAGAAGGAAGGTTGGCTAAGATTTAGTGATCCACTGCAGCTGAATGCCAGCTTGAATGACTTTGGAAGAAGATTGGATAAATTCAGAAAAGCTTTATCAGCGACTACCCTGTTTCTTTGAAAATAAGACCTAACCTGAAAATAAGCCCTAGTATGATTTTTCAGGATGCTCATAATATAAGCGCTACCCCCAAAATAGGCCCCAGTTAAGTGAAACTCCGCCCTCCACCAATGTGTAGCAATCTGAAGAAGGTGACATGACTGTATTTGAATATATGTAGATTTTTGTACATGAAAAAAATACAACATCTCATTGAAAATAAGCCATAATGCATTTTTGGAGCAAAAATTGATATATAAGACCCTGTCTTATTTTTGGAGAAACATGGTACTCATAAGGGTGGTTATGTAATCATCTCCAATAACAGAAGCTGGAAAATGTGATGCAGATGGTGCCAATTGCACTTTCTGTTAGAAGACTCCTCATAGCCACCTGGTTGGCCACTGTGTGAATATATTGTTGGAATAGATATACCTTTGGTCTGATTGAGAGTGGCTCTTCCTGTATCTGCCCCTGTATTTGTTCACTGTTACTACCACTACGAAATCAGCTTGTATACCATGGTTTGCTATCCAGATCCATCTGTATTTATTATTCCTCAAAATCTAAGAGTGATATAGTGAAAACTGGAAAGAGCTAATGCAGACTGTACCAAGCTTTTGGACAGTGGTGGCAAAGGCCCCATGTGTAATGACAGACTATCTATCCATCTACATGGATAGATAGGCTGCTAAAATCAATGTCTTTTTATAGACTAAGGCTCTTCATCTGCTACAAAATTAGAAACCACAAGTGATGTTTTTCCTAGCTTGGAGATACAGTGACAAGGAAAACTGTACTTGTTGAATTCTGCCTATCATGCACACCTCTTCCTTTTAAATTTTGGGTGTTGTACCCATAGTAATCTGTTTTATAGTAAAAACATATCAGCATTTTATTTTGAGTAAGCCCCACTGAATTCAGTGGGGTTTATTTTAGAGTCGACATGCATAGGACTGCTATATTTTTCAGTGGCTAATTCCTTCTCTCTTGTTGTCTTGCAGAGCCCCTGAAATCATTCTTGGTTTACCCTTCTGTGAAGCAATTGACATGTGGTCCCTAGGGTGTGTCATTGCAGAACTTTTCTTGGGCTGGCCTTTATATCCAGGAGCTTCAGAGTATGATCAGGTTAGTATTACTGCCACTGCCCCCTTCTAGATTTAAAGAAGGGGGGGGAGTGACAACCACTACATTTGCAATAAAATGCCTTTGGCCATAGTTATCTATGCATATGATGTTGAATTTCAGTATTATTTTCTCTCAGATCTCATGCTGGAACACCAGTTTAGCAATTATATCAATACAATTCAACAAACAGTGCTATTCTATTCCCTTAACATTTCTATAGTAAGAGTTTGGTATCATCTCCACTGATAGATTGGAAAATCAGCTCAGTTTTATACCAGGAATGTCTAAATGGACTTAGTATGTGACTCTAGTCTTTTTCTCCATTTTCCTCTATTTCCTTTTATTAATCTTTCTGTTTTTCTTGTGACCATGAAATGGTCCTAGACATTTTGCTAACTAAAGCTAGATAACAAATGGTCCCATCATTCACCATCATGCCCCATACTAATCAGGTAATTCTGGCACAGCAAAAAATAAAAAATAAAAAATAAAAAAAACCCTGTCATGATATCTGATTAAGGACAAAATCCTGCTGAGAAAATCTGGGAAAAATGCAGTTGTAATGGCAATCACACGAGTGAGCTTTTGTTTACCTGTGATTCTTCTCTCTGATGAGCTATTTTTTGTGTGACCTTATTATGAAATTGGGAATGCAACCAGCATGCAAACAAGAAACAAACTACTTTTGCAGTTGCTCTTGGACACACCGTTTTCTTAAAGGGATTATGGTCTAAATAACTATTTCTAGTTCTTTCAAGAAACCCAAAATATACTGAAAAGCCTTCTCCCTGGTCTCAACCAGACATGCATCAGACACTAGTGGGACACATGAGATCTTCCATTGATTATTTTAATGAGTGGTCTAATTATAGTAGTCTAGACATGATGTAACTAGGACACAGGTTACTATGGATAGATTTTCAGCCTCAACCTCAGATTAAAATGAAGGCAATCAGTAGAAGAGGATCAGGATGGTGGTGCCAAACGTGGATGGTCAGTAAACACCTTTTAAAATGCAGTGTGAGCAGGAGGGGAGAGACGAAGCTTACGGTTCATTATTAGGCATGTGAATTTATAACAGTATGGGTAAATCTGTGTGGACAGACAGGCTTTTAAGATGTTGTGTAGTAGAGACATCCACAGTGCTAAGTCTGTCTTGCCTCACCATGTCCTTGGGCCGGTTGTCTACTGTTTTAGAACTTTGCACATCAAAAGTGTGCATTCGTCTGGTAGTACTGTCTGGTTATTTTTTAATTGCTACTGATTCTAGTGTTTCTCCAGGTCAGATCATGAGCACAATTCAAACTGAAGAGGATTATGCAAATAGTGGCACAGAGGCATTTGCAGGCAATCTGTCCCAGTTTCCTGATACATCCCAAATTGGTGTTGCAGTGGTTAAACAATAAACCATAGTTTTAGAGCTGATGCACAGAAACCTTGGATCTCCAGATGTCTTAGGCTAAAATTCCCATAATTCCATGGGGGGGCGAATTAAGGATTGCCACCTCTATTTTAGAATCCTTTCCTTTCTAGGGAGTTCTAAGAATTTTAAGAAGGGATGTGCCTCCCATCAAACCAAGATGACTCTGCTAGGACCATGGAAGAGCATTTTATATATTAAACAAAAAGATAGCCCACATTTGTCAAAGAGAGACCCTTGCATGAAAACAATAGTTGGGCTGTAGCTAGCTGAACCACTGGAAAATGCCTTGTACCAGATTGGGTGGCTTGTCGAGTACAGTATTGTTTATGCCTGACAGAGATAGATATTTATCATTGTCTATCTGATTCTTTTTACACTGGAGATACCAAAGGTTAAATTTAGAACCTCCTGCCAGCATGATTTTCCTCCACTCCCACATCTATGCATGGAAATTCTTTCATGGGGGTGCACACACACTCCTGGGCACATTGCAGTGCTTGCCAAGACCACATTCAAGGGGGATGTACCTGGACTCTCAAACTAGATTGTTCAAAAAATCTTCTTGACGTTGAGGGGGGGGGCATCAAAGCCAAATATATGAAAAGCACATTTGGTGATAAAAGCCTTCCCTCAAGGCATATATTGCATTCTTCTTTACCTTTGCTACTCATCCCTTATCTCTACATGTCCACAGGCTTCAAAGGCTGAAGAAGTAGTGTAATTAAGCTTAACTGGAGAAGGAAAGATAATTGTGTGGTACCTGGTTATTCTTAATATATAAAAAGTATGATTAATGGTTAAATTCTGTGGGCTTTCCCCTTCCTTTTTGGTGCTTGGTTTGATTTAAGCAGAATTTTCTGTGCATTTACTTCGTTTTCTCATTTTTTTTGCTTCCACCACCCATCCACAACCCTAGCCTGGATTATACCAACATAGATGTGTATTTCTCTTCCTTCTTTGACAGATCCGGTATATTTCACAGACACAGGGCTTGCCAGCTGAGTATTTGTTAAGTGCTGGGACAAAAACAACAAGGTTTTTCAACAGGGATACAGATTCACCGTATCCACTGTGGAGGCTAAAGGTAAGGAAGTGTTTCACATTCTTATCTCATTCCTATCATTTGTATCTTCTAAGCTTGAACGTACCAGTATTCATATTGGAAGCATAAGAATGGGCTGACTTATGGGTGCTGCTGGGTAGGAGGGGAGAGTAATTTTTGACTACGAATGGGTATAGGAACTTAGAGCTTTGTATCAAAGAAGGTCATCCAGGGATCTGAAGCAAATTCATAAAAAGAGCTTCATAAAATAAATCAGATACAGATTGATCTTGGCCTTCTTTGCAAAGACTTCTCAGACCCTAGAAAAGTTACATATTTGCCCCATTATTCCAGGAATCCCCATGCCATTTGGGAAATGGTTTCATAGAAAGGGAGATTGTACTGAAGATGGGTTTTGACACATTGTCTGAGTCAAAGCTGATTCCCTTAACCACCATGTTGCTTGTATGAAAAACGAGAGGAAAGACTCTAATTGCATTTTTTACTGTGATAGCTGTGACATCATAACTCAGCATGAGTAAGGCCATGCAATGGTCCAAGTCTAGTAATTAAGTTGATCCATCTCTCCATTCCTTGTATTGATCCTGCAGCCATGTTTCCTAGGATAAAGTCAATTAAGCTTTGACACAAACATTGAAGAAATAATAGATATCTCTCCTTCCCCATAAACAGGAGTGAGGGATATTTTTCACCCTAAAAGTCTCTTTCATTTACCCAGGATTATGCCAGAGGAGAGCATGGTTAAAGCCAAAAACAGAGTTGGCCAAATCATTTTTCAACAGCAAATTGCCAGTGAGGTTCAGAGAGAGGAAAAAGGCCATGAGATTCAATCCAGTGGCTTCCTGGTCTGTCTGGCATATAGCTAGCTGAAACATCCAGCTTGTGTATCACATGGCTACCACCCCACCTCTAAATCCTGTGTTGCTGGACTTGCTGGTCACGTCAGATGAAAATTTAGGAGTCAAAGGATGCATAGATCTCTTGTCATTCCTTTCCAGTTTCACATGAGAAGGACGTGATTACTTTGGAGTTGGGCCTACAATGAGAGTAGGTTTTGAAGTGTCCATCTAAAGTAGCAATGAATAGTATGTAAAGATCAAGATGGTTGCAAGTAATTGGCTCTTTCTTGATTCTGAACAGACACCAGATGATCATGAGGCAGAGACGGGGATCAAGTCAAAAGAAGCTAGAAAGTATATTTTCAACTGTTTGGATGATATGGCACAGGTAAGAAACGGCTGAAGAATCATGTTCACTAAAAATTACCAGGCATAGAACCCATCATATAACAGGACTATAAACTCTACTCTCATGCACAGTGTTTGATATTTTGATTTTAGAAGCTCAGGTAATAATGGGGCAGGCGTGACACATACTGTTTATGCAGTTCCTTTCACTTCCCAACAACTGTTGAACAACTACTGTTAACAGTCATCAACATTTACACCTCTTTCCTTTCTATTCCTGTATTCTTGCCCCATCTGAGCATGTGTATAAGTATCTGCCTATCAGGAAACCCTTCCTGCACCTTGTGAAATGGGCTGCAATTTTCAAAAGCTCATGCCAAATAAAACCTACTTAAAGTGCCATAAGAACTTTTGTTCTTTTTATCCCTTGGGTTTTCGCCCTCATGTAAAGTGATTGCAGCTAGTAACCTTCCTGCTACCACTGCACTCACTGGCCTTGTGTTACACAATATCTCTGTTCAGTGCTGTATGAAGGAGCCTTATACATCTACATGTGCGTAAGAGTTGCAAGCTGATGCAGTGCTGCTTGGTTCACTGCTATTATTTGTGTGAAGAAGCTCTACATGTATGTTAGTGCACATATAGGGTTCCTTCATACAGCTGTTGAATGTGTGACTGGTATGTAAACAGTAGGTAAGATGCCATTATGTTTCCCTCCCAGTACTTTGGTGAGGTGTCCAGCTTTGCCAGGACTGTGGAGGAGGAACATTTGTCTTGCAGAAATGCGCTGAATCCCAGCCTCAAGGTTCATTCATGCAAAAACCTCTGCTAGAAAGAGATGGAAGATACTTCTCTGTTAGGTAGCTGGGCAAAAATGGGCTTGGAGAGGAGAGCGGAGGGGCTTTTTAGGGGCTTCTGTGGGCAAGATGGGGAACCTGCTTGAGCTAGAGTAGGCTCATAGACTGGAGGTTTCCTTTTCATGCCTTAGAACAGTGGTCCCCAACCTTGGGCCTCCAGATGTTCTTGGACTACAACTCCCAGAAGCCTTCACCACCACCTCTGCTGGCCAGGATTTCTGGGAGAAGTCCAAGAACATCTGGAGGCCCAAGGTTGGGGACCACTGCCTTAGAACATGCTACATTAGAGTATGTAGTGCGAATTGCTCAAGAGTGGATCATGTGGGAAAGTATTCCCCCTCCCCCCAAAAAACCCACTGAATGTCTGAAACTGGTCTCCTTGTCTGATCACATGTAACATCAGAAACAAATGGAGGGGAGTAGTATCACACCCACTAGCTTCCCCATAACCATTTGGCATAACCTGTGGGAGAGCTTAACCATGTACAGATTGTATAAACAGGCACTTGAGTACACTGCCTATTCAAGATACTATGCCAAAAATATATGAAGAGGCAGAATGACCAGAGGGTATAAAACAATATCATTTTGGAGGATCCAGGGCTTCCAGAAATATGGATATATTTCTGATTCAGTTTGCTTTCCAGGTGAATATGACAACAGACTTGGAAGGAAGCGATATGTTGGTGGAAAAGGCAGACCGGCGGGAGTTCATAGATTTGTTAAAGAAGATGTTGACGATAGATGCTGATAAAAGGATAACGCCGATTGAAACACTCAACCACCCATTTGTCACCATGACGCACTTGCTTGATTTCCCCCATAGCACCCAGTATGCATTTTTTTCTTCTTCTCTATTTTGGTTTGGAAATTTTGGAAGGGAGTAATCAATGGTTAGAAGGGCAACCTGCTAGATGTAGTATCTGGATTTTTTCTAAATTTGAGCAAACAGAATGGACACCATCAAAGGCTTGCATACAAAATAGCCGTTGTGCTACTGGAGGAATAGTTTCTTATATTTGGTGGCTCCTGTCCTAGGGAAGATCTGATCTGAGTTACTTTAACAAACTGCAACCGTCCAGATTTTGTTGGATATAATAGCTCGAATTTTTAACTCAGGTTGGATGAAAAAGGTCCACAGACTTTCTTGCTTGATGCACTTACTTTTGACTTTGGAGGGTATTTGGAATGGCCTTACTCCTCATACTTGTCGGAACTGTGTGTTGCAGTAGTTCTGTTTAAAATAGTGTTTTCCATTTTTAATTCAGATGGAGACAGTGACCATGGTAATCCATAGTCATCAGGTGGACTTTCTGGGAAGCTGAATTACAATATCTAGAAAAAACCTTTCAATCTTTTATAGAATTACAAGTTTCTTAAAAACAGTTATTTTTTTCTGAAACAGATGCAAATAGTAAGCTCCTTGGTAGAGTTACTCCAGGGTAGCTTTACTGTACTTGTTTTAGTTACTGAAAAAGATGAGGTTTTGTAAGGTAGAACATGTGGGTAGAAAATTAACATAGGCCAGTAGGAGGCAGATTCCACATGCAGCAATAAAAAAATAGGAGAGACTTTAATTCCTTTTACAGAAAAAGATTTTCTTATATTAAAAAAATAATAACATAGAAAAGTAGCATCCTTAACAGTAATATATCTTGCAGCCTTAGCCAGTACAACTAATAGTGAGGAATACTTGGAATTGCTTTCCAATAGCATCTGGAGAATCTTACAGTGGTGCCTCGCATTACGACATTAATTCGTTCCAGCAAAATCGCTGAAGAATGAAAACGTCGTAATGTGAAATAAAAAAGCCCATAGAAATGCATTAAAACCTGATTAATGCGTTCCTATGGGCTTGAAACTCACCGTCCAGTGAAGATCCTCCATAGCGCGGCCATTTTCGCTGCCCGTGCAGCGAGGAATCCATCCCAGAAAAGAGCGGAGAGTCTTTTTTTTTTACCCGGCGGCCATTTTGAAACCGCTGATCAGCTGGCCGAAAATCGTCGTTTTGCGAGAATCGGTTCCCGAAGCAGGAAATCGATCATTGTAAAGCAAAATTCCCCCATAGGAAACATTGTTTTGCGATCGCTTTTGCGATCGCAAAAACTTCGTCGTAATGGGATTTCATCGTTAAACGGGGCGCTCGTCTTGCGAGGCACCACTGTACTGTGCCCAGCCTGCTTTAACACAGGGGCAGTTAGCTTTTATTCATTTATGGGATCTCTAGTTTTTTTATTTATTTATTTAATTTATATGCCGCCCACACTACCCAAAGGTAGTGACCCTATTATTTAAAAAAGAATGGTCACGAATTTTGTTAGTCTGCCTCTGTAATATTGGCCACACCCTATTTTGTGCTGTGATGTCATGACATGGTGCATTTCCCTGCCTTTGCTCAAGATTGTTGGCTGCCATAACAATATGGGGAAGCCCATGCCACTGAATATCACAACCAAAAGAGGAAGGTGATAGAACATCTGGCTGCCATCAGCTGTATGCTTTCAGATAACATGCGTTTCTAATCTTAAGAAGTTAATATATAATCACCTGTGATAAAATACTGAGCTTTTTAGAATCCTGTTAAGAAATGTGAGGTTGGATGTCTTGATCCTGGAAGCATGATCTACGGTAATAGTCCCCCGCCTTCTATTGTTGATTCCATTTAAGGTCTCCTTTTAGTTTTCTTTTTAATTCTGTTGAACATAAAACTACATGCACAATTAAGGGAAGTTCATACATGGTCTTAGGACTATGTTTAAAAAGAAAAAATTGTAAGGAGTTACTGCTGGGTAACTGTTAAAGACCAGCAGTCGTAACATCAAATCCACACGACGGAGTGAGTGAGCTCCCGTTGCTTGTCCCAGCTCCTGCCAACTGAGCCATTCGAAAGCAGTTAAATGCAAGTAGGTACTGCCATGATTGAAAGGTAACGGCATTCCGTGTCTAGTCGCGCTGGCCACGTGACCACGGAAACTGTCTACGGACAAACGCTGGCTCTACGGCTTGGAGACGGGGATGAGCACCGCCCCCTAGAGTCGGACATGACTGGACTAAATGTCAAAGGGAACCTTTACCTAACTATTAAAAAGTGGTAAATGTACTGGAGATGCTGCTTTGGGACTGATCCAAAGTAAAGTCTCAGGAGATGGGGAGGCATCTAGCATTCCTAGAATGTTTAAAATTGCTAAGGTATAGTTTTAAGATTTTAATACAACTCAAGACAAGAAGCAACAATCTGCATGGCGAACAAGCAGGGGGTCTGTTAATCGTGGTGTTTACATAACTGATGTTCAGATATTTGATGAATTTACACCTTTAAGTGTTAAGATGTATCAACACTACATACATGTGTCTGTTTCGTATCAGCTTAACTGACACAGCTACTGTCAAAATACTCCTAGGAAGTGTAGTTTGGAGAGTATGATTGTGTTAAGAAGCCTAGTGTGTTGCCTCTCACCTTGCAATCTAAATTACAGTTTCAAATGTTCTCTAGGAAAAAAATAATGTCTATCAAATAGTTTTAAATTTGTAACATAGCAATGGCAGTGGTGACATGGCTTATAGCTCTTTACAGTCAATTCCTGAACTTGCCTATCAGACAAACGAGCATTTTTTGCTTCTTACACACTTTCCCTCTGCAAACAGTGTCAAGTCCTGTTTCCAAAATATGGAGATTTGCAAGCGTCGAGTGAACATGTATGACACAGTGAATCAGAGCAAAACACCATTTATCACTCATGTGGCCCCAAGTACATCAACCAACCTAACCATGACCTTCAACAACCAGCTGAATACAGTCCATAACCAGGTAAGTGGATTCACTAGTACCCCTTTCCCCCTAAAATAAGACCTAACCTGAAAATAAGCCCTATTATGATTTTTCAGGATGCTCGTAATCTAAGCCCTACCCCCAAAATAAGCCCCAGTTAAGTGAAAGCCCGTCTTCCACCATTGTGCAGCAACCAGAAGAAGATGACATGACTGTATTTGAATATATGTAGATTGTTGTGCATGAAAAAAATAAAACATCTCTTGAAAATAAGCCATGATGCATTTTTGGAGCAAAATTTAATATAAGACCTTGTCTTATTTTCGGGGAAACAGGGTATATGTGTTGGACAGGAGTGGACACATGTTTAGTTAGCTGTCTTGTACACTTTGGTAGCAGAATGTATTTATTTCCTCTACTTTACCACCTGTTTCTATGGTCGTAACAGGCTTAAGGTGGCTGTCTTTTTTCTCATTGGAGGGGATTTGTATATTCCTCACTTGTGTGACTCTGATAGTTGTCCCCAAACTGTGTTTTTATTTAATTTAATAAAATTTACTTCTTTAATTTTTTAGATAGAAACAGTTATGTCACTTCATCTCTTTTCATACTCTTTTTCACTTATGGACAGACAAGAAATATAGATTATTTTCTTTTTCTTCTGTGTCTGGCTCACACATACTTATGTGTGGTTTGTGCACATACATTGCATGGGATGCTGGGTCTAACATAATCCTGACCTAGACTCTATTTTCTGTCTTTTGGAGTGGCAGGTGAATACTTCAGTGTGTGTGCATGCGTATGTGGTCACTTGTGTACAAAAAGTGGAACAGGCTATTAACAAAAAATTCCTCATCCTAACTTATCCCTAGCTTCTTCCTTTTTACTCATTCTTTTCTTTCCCTCTTTCGGTTTTTTTGTTTCTTTTCCTTTTTAAAGTTAGTTTAGTAGGGTTTTATTTCATATTTTTTTCTTTAAAGAAAGCCTTGCCTTTTCCAACATTACCATCTCCTTCATATTTTGTTTTTATTTTATTTTAAATCCCACCGTTCCTTTAGGCCACCACCCTGGCTCCCACCTCTACCACCAGTGCCACTATTTCCTTAACCAACCCTGAGGTCTCCATACTAAACTACCAATCTGCACTCTACCAGCCCTCGGCAGCATCCATGGCCGCGGTGGCCCAGAGGAGTGTCCCCCTGCAAACAGGAACGGCGCAGATATGTGCTCGCCCTGACCCTTTCCAGCAAGCCCTCATTGTATGTCCTCCAGGCTTTCAAGGTAAGAGACATAGACCTCTTCGCTGCAGCCGGTTGCTCCTTTGTTTTGATCTTGTCTCATCTGAAGGGCTCCTACAACATCTCTCTGTCAGGTCCCTAGCATGAAGACAACTTCCATAGAATGAGATGTGGCAGAGTATACATCTTAACATAAGTAAATAAATAAACAGCAAACCTACAAATGGCATGTCATTGCATCAAGCAGGCAGAAGAGGTCACAGTTTGGAGGGACAGCACCTGCTTTATTTGTAGAAGACTCCAGATTCAGTCTGTGGAGCAGGAGGAGACAGCTCCCTGGGATGAAGGTCTAATTGAATTCTCACTTGCATACACATTGAGGAATGGGCTCACTAATGCTATTCCATGGTGACTAACAATATTTGATATTTGCTGCTGAGGGTTCTCAAGCTTCTGCAATTTGGCAGCATCTATTGTGGTCCTTTGTGGTGCAGAGTGACCAGAGAGCCCTCCAGCATCATAGAGGATCTCCTTTTCCCCACTGTCTCCTTTCGTTCTGGAAGGGAGGAAGAGCAAAAGAAAGTTCTTGTGCTGACATCAAATTCTGCTAGTGTTGTTCTTTCAGTGATAGCAGCACCACTGTTATCAATGCAAAGGCAGAAGAGACGGTGGGTTCTTCAAAGAACAACTGGCAATGAGACCACATGCATTCCACAGGTCATATGTCTTCCATCCAGTGCCCACAGACTCACATTTAAAATGGTGGAGTAGTTAAAACAATATAGTGTAGCAACATTTATCATGCAGTTGTGAGTGTAGCATAGTTTTATGCGGATCACTAGTCTGGCTCCATTCAGTGTTCTCAGAACTGTGGCATCCAGAACACATATCTGTGGGAATAATTACCAATATCCCTAGTATTTTGTGTGTGTGTTATGTGCTGTCAAATTAAAACAAAATTACAATGACTCTAATAGGGTTTTCAGGATAAATGAGATATTGGTTACCAGTTCCATCTGCACCCCCATCCCAGTGTGTGTCTGTGGCCAAGCAAGGATTCAGATCCATTTACGCCTGAGTCCTAGTCCATCACTCTATCTACCATACCACACTAGGTATCTTAACATTTGTTTAAATTATTTGTATGCCACCTTTCTCCCCACAGGGGACCCTAAAATAGAATATCTATTTTGCTTGGTAACAATTTATTCTATTTCAGATTTCCTTTCTGTAGTTCATTTGGTTGTGAGTGTTTGCTGAAGATTTTAATCTGTTTGCTATGTTCCTACCATGCCCTAACTCTGCTTGACTGTCATAGGAGTTGTCATAGGACCAGCCCTGAGATGTAGGTCAGGCTGAAGTAGCACAACTGGCCAAGGATCAGGCAGTAAATATCATGGGTCATCAGGAATGTATACCTGGATATTCCAGGTCCCAGTCCAGCATTTTAACCCGTATGTCCCATTAGCTGTCATACCGGTTGGGTGACGCGGCCATTGCAATTTTAAGTGGGAGTTTGCTTCATTGTTCTTTTAGAAGTTGGTGCATTTCTGCTTCGGCCTCTTTTTCAAGAACTGTACTTGTCTTTTAACATCTGGGCTCATCTGTTGTCTAGAAGCGCGAATCACTGCCACCTGACTCCATTCCCCACCCCACTCCCAGTCTCTCTCTTTTTCATTTTTACTCAAAGATATTAAAGTTCTTTGCAGATATTGATGTCTCGGCACACTGCTGCGCAGCAGACGTTTTATCCTTTTTATGTGGGGTTAAAATAACATAAAAGAGCTCCAGGGTGAAATCTTGAAAAGTCCCCTGAGTCTTATTTACAAAAGCTACAAAAGGCATTTGCCTATTCTGGGCAAATTTTTATCCTCAATGATTTTGTCAGCTCAAAAGGCACAAAGCGACCAGGCCAGCGGAAAGGATGATAGACTGTTGGAGTCTTAATTTCTACCCTGGCTTTTAGCAACAGGCACTGCTTCCTTTGGAACTTCAGTGTCTCTTTTTCAGCTGCTGTCCCAAACTAGTTTGTACTGGGGAATTGTTGGGAGGTGGTGTCAATGAATTCATTGGCTTTGTTTTATTTATGTCCCGCTCCTTCTCAGTGGCTGGGGTGGGGAAGCAACTTTGCAAAACAGAACAGAATAGAATGGAAGAAACACAAAGCAAAATAGAAGAGAACAAAACAAAATAAACACATATTTTCCACCCTTTTTGTGGCCAAAACATGTATGTTTTTACATTCATTGTTAAAACATTATTTCGAAAGAAGGAAGGAAGGACATGCATATAGGGGTAATTTTCATTCTGACCATAACATACAAGGTGGCAAAATTTCCCCAGTCATAATCTCAACAAGATGGAGAAATTATTCCTAATTCTGATATCTGTGTAGAGTAGCAAAGGATTTGTGGGGGATCATGGAAAAAAAGTGATAAATTCCATTCCACCCACTCCCTTTATTGCAAAGAAAACTGACACCCTGCGATTACCATTAAGCTTAAAAATAAAAAAAACTTATTCTAGTGATGGAACTATTTAATTAGGAGAAAAGATTATTAACAAGAGATATAACAACTGTCTTCAAATATTTGGGGGGGGGGGTTGTCACAAATCTGTGTTCTCCAGAAGCAACAGGTCCAAATTATAAGAAAAGGAATTTCAACTAAACTTGGGGGAGAAGGTCCTGAATATGAAAACTGTTCAAAAACAAAACTACATTGGCATGGGTTTGGTCTACACTAGATTACTTTTGAGGCCTCTTCCATCTGTCACTCTCTGAGAGGCAGTCCAAAATATGCAATGAAATCATACATTAAAACACTCTCTAATAAATACAAAAAATACAATAAACACTGTCCCCAGTTAAAACCGCCTTTAAATAAATATACATAAATTAAAACCCATTTGAACATCTCACGACAAAATTCACACTAGTAGAAGGCAGCTTTATATAATTCAGTCCTAATTAGCTTTCTAAAAACAGAGAAGGATGGTGCCTGGCAAACCTCTGTAGGAGGCTTGTCCCAGAGAGAAGGGGCCATGACTAAGGAAGCTCAGTTCCTCGTGTTCACTTTCTTGGCCTCCTTAGGTGTTGCAGTTCTTAAGATCAAGGACTGCGAGGAGCATGTGGAAGGGTGGCTATTTTGTGGGAAAGATATTCTGCCAAATATTGAGGTCCTAAACCATGATGAGCTTTATAGGTTAAGACTAGCACCTTAAAAGTAGAAGGGCACAGAATTATTCTTTGCTGCTGCTAACATCTAGAGCCATACATCTTTCCTCCTGAAATCCCCTCTGTCAGTGTGGTGCAGCAGTAAAAACGTTGGACTGGCAGATCTTAATATATACCCATGCTAAATTATGAAACTCCTTGGGTAGCCTTGGCTCCGTCACTTTTTGTCAGCCTGACGTAACTGACTGTTTTTTTCAACTATAAAGAAGGTTAGAGGTATACTGTTTTGAGCTTGTAGAGCAAATGTGGGATAGAAGTAAAACCAACAGAATAATAAAATTAATCATTCCATGGATGGGTTTTCAGGATACAGGTGAGGAGGAAAAGCAGCTGTCAGTAAGAGTGTAACTGTCAAACTATGGCTAGCAGGGAAAAAAACCATAAGCTCAGATCTGCCTTTGTTTTGTATCCCTAGAACCTCTAAAATGTCAAGACAAAATGTCCAGGAGGTAGCCATGTTAGTCCGCTGAAGAAGAAAAAAACTTGAAGACTAATCAGGGCTTTTTGGGGTTTTTTGCATAACCTTTTGTGGACTGCAATCCACTTCTTCCAATGTCAGGCAAAAATTCTTCCTTGAGAACTTTCAGCTGAACCTTAGTTTTTACTGAAAGCTATTACCTTAAGGTTATCTTGTCAAGAGGTGGTCCTCCCAATCCCTGCTATGTAGTGAAAAAGACCCTATGATATAAACCAGGCTGAGTTAGAATGGGACCTTTTGGCGTTCATAGGGCCGGTATAAATCAGAAGCAGCTTGACAACACATCACCACCACCACCACCACCTGGAGAGCCATTGTGTCTGAAAGCCAGTCTGGAAATATAGTAAAGAAACATACAAATAAAACAAAGCATCAAGTGAAATTACAGTGAACCTGCACCACCCGTTTCTTTCCAAGTCGTTGAATGCCAACCAGCTGGAAAATGCCCAGGTTCTGGCCTTAGAAATCCCCTGAGAGAAGTAGACCCTATTCAGAATATTTCTGCACATGTCCTTGGTTTTTAAATGTGGGCATGTATGGGATGTGTTCCCCAGCTTGTTGCCCTCAACATGTGCTGAATTACAACACACACACACCAGTCCAGAGGCAGCTCTTGAATTCCTGCTTTTAGTTATGGTGTTCAAACATGAATGGTGTGTAGCTGTATTAACCGTGTTATGCTTAGCATTTAAGGTACCTATTCCTAGGAAAGGAACTGATGTCTAAGTCTTTTATGTTTTTTTCTTATTTTCCTTGCCCAGGATTGCAGACTTCCCCTTCAAAGCATGCTGGGTATTCTGTTCGGATGGAGAATGCTGTGCCAATAGTCACTCAGGCTCCAGGGGCTCAGCCCCTTCAGATCCAGCCAGGACTTTTAGCACAGGTACATTTTCATTCTCATGGATTGATTTTCCTCCACCTTTCAACTGTAATGGGAAAAACTGGATGCAAAGCTAAGCCTTCTCTGTGTAGTCAACAGAAGAATAGTCCATGTGTGTGGATATTAATATGGATTTGGAACATTAGCATGTCTACAATATCACTGCTTTTCTTTCTCCAGCTTTTCTTTCCTTTGGATCTCTCTCGCAGAACCTTGAGAGGAGAATGTGTGTTCATGAAATCTTACTACCTACCATTTTTCTTTAATTTGCCTGCCCCAAGGTCAACAGCAGGCACTGCAGATAAACCAGCTACTCTGTGTCCTTTCTTCACTATATTAAGAAAGGCCTGACCACTCAAATGCTGAGGCAGGGCAGGGAAGCCTATGGCATTGCCAGTGAGTGGGCAGTCACCTGGAGGAGGCAGAGGAAGCAAACATGCTGCTGCCAATGAGTGGGCAATACGGGAGGGAAGGACGGAGGGGAAGGAAGTGCCCGGCATGATGGAACACCTGTGCGGGCACCAGGCCGAACTGCCAAACTGCGGTTCATATCTGTCTAACTTACAGCAACCCTAATAGAGCTTTTGAGGTAAGCGAGATATTTGAGGAATAGTTGTACCAGTTCTGCCACTCCTAATGCATTTCCATGGGGATTCAGTCCCAGGTCTCTTGACTTTTAGTAGTCTGTCACTCTATCCACTATACCACACTGGGCACCAGAGTGTATATGCCTGGAAGAACATTCTCGTATTCTGAGGCATCAATAGCTTCCCAAGTCCTGCCAAAGCATTGACTTGCTTGGATAGCATTCCAGCATGTGTTCGTTCAGCTTTCCTTTTGCCAGCTGCCAGCCCAGCTTATCTTGGAAAGACAGTATGGAACAAAAGTTGAAGCTTGCATGATTTATTCTCATTAGCTAGGTGCCGCCTCCCATTCCCACAGACAGTCTTTGTGAAAGAGCTGTCTCTGACGTGAATGAAGTCCACCTCTGTGAAAGCCTGCCATCTTTTTCCAAGCATTGCAGTTGAGAGAAAAACTATCTTTCTCATTTAAAAATAAAAGGTGAAGCATTTGAAAGCAGGACAAGAAAGTGTAAGCATTTCAGTCAAGAGAAAGAAAGGAAAATTTGCAAACATAAATATGTAAAATATTTGCCTAAAAGTACCGTGTGAAATGAGTTGAAGTGCCCAGTCATGAGCATACATAATCACACAGTTTCAAAACTCAGACCCAAACATCTTACAGATCTCTTAATTGGACTTGGTAATTTCATCTGGCAGGCTAAAAGTTAAAGTAATAATGAGGACAGATATACTGTAGTACCATTTAAAAGGTGATTTTTTTTTAAAAAAAAAGGTGAGGCACTCAGACTATGTCAAGCTATCAAATTCTGTATTTGAGACCTTTTCTAATATAAAGGTCAATTCCTCTGGTCAATTATGATACATTAAAAGGAACCCAATGAGTACTTCTCTTCACCTGTCACATAAAAAAAACTAAGATTATTTATTGTGGCATAAAACTCTCATAACTTAACAAAGGGTTTCAAAAGTTGTTTCCTTGGACTGCAGCTCCAGAATTTCCCAGCCAACATGGGCAGTAATACACAGTAGTGGTATCAGGCTAGCCATACAACTGATGGGGCCGACTCCAGGCCATGAGTACTGTATCCACCAATAACACCACAACGTTGTATGTGTCTACTATGAAAAATGTTCTGCTGAGTTCAGTGGGACCCCTCTGCCCAAAAATTCAACACAGGATTGCAGCCTCAATTCATTATCTTTTAAGGTCCCATGAGATTCTTAGTTGTTCCTGCGACAGGTAGGCTATCTCGATAACTGGGTACAAGATCTTTGTTAAATGTTTGCTCCCTCTAGAGTTTCTAAAAGAGGGGGAATAGAGACTGAAGTAACAAATGAAAAGACTTTTTTACATCATTTGTGTTGCAATTGAGGAATATGTTCTGTTGTAACCAGTGGGACTTCAACTACATCTGAACACATACCTGATTGCTTTGGAATGTGGTACCATATGGATAGGACAGTAAAAAAATAATGGGCTAGTAAATTGATACATTTATGAGGCATAAAACCATATTCTCACGTTCTCGAAATGATCAGAACAAGGCTGATTCTTACCGGATAAGTGGATAATCTTGGGTAACCCAGGTGTTCTTGCACTGCAGTTCCCAGAAACTTTCACCAGCAGTTGTGCTGGCCAGGATTTCTGGGTGTTGCATGTAGGTTACCCAAGACTGGGAAACATTGGTCTAGATGATAACCAGTTATATTCTCTTGTATAACTTCCATTCATTCCATTTGGTGCCAGAAAAACCTAAGTTAGGAAGAATATTCCATATGGGATGCCACAACTGAAAAGCCTCTGTCTCTGGCTGTCACCTCTATTAGAACAATATATAATTCCTGGCATCTCTGATTTTAAAAGACTGACTCAGTCCATCTATGGACGACTTGGAGATTAGAGAGGGAATAGTGCCATAGTTATGGACTGAGTCTTGGAAAATCCAGTCTATTGTCCCTGTTAAGAAATATACTTATGAGTGTCTTGAGCCAGTAATTTGGTCTCACCTTTACCTACTTCAGTCAGGGACATGGTGGCGCTGTGGGCTAAACTGCAGAAGCCTGTGCTGCAGGGTCAGAAGACCAGCAGTCGTAAGATCGAATCCACGCGATAGAGTGAGCTCCCGCCGCTTTGTCCCAGCTCCTCGCCAACTTAGCAGTTTGAAAGCATGTAAATGCGAGTAGATAAATAGGTACCACCTCAGCGGGAAGGTAAAACGGAGTTCCCTAGTCACGCTGGCCACGTGACAATGGAAACTGTCTTCGGACAAACGCTGGCTCTACGGCTTGAAAACGGGATGAGCCCCACCCCCTAGAGTCAGACACGACTGGACTAAAAATGTCAAGGGGAACCTTTACCTTTACCTGACCTACTTCACAGGGTTGATGTAGGGGGAGGGGATGAAGACAAGGAAAGCTGTTTTTCTCCTGCCTTGCTGAAAAAAATGGGATATTTATATAAATAATTAGAAAGACTGTTGTCAGTACAAGCTAGATGGGCCAGTATTTTGACTAAGAACATTACAAAAAAAAAATGAATGAAGATAGTGGTCACAGTAGGAAACACTCCTGCTCAGTTCCTCATAAGCAGAATGAAGCTGAGCACAGCCCTCCTCTAAACAAACTTCTAGCATAAGGAGTCATACTAGGCCTACATAGTGAACCCTGGCAACCTGTGTCTTGTGTATGGTTTGCAGGCCTTGCAGTAAATAGGGCAGGGGCAGTAGGATCTTTGCATCCCCATGGGAATTTTGCAATACTCTAGCCAAGAGGGAAGGGGACTTGAGTTGTGAGACTTGCTGTCAAGTCAGATTGAAGTCGCACCAGTGACTCGGCTCTGACTTGACTTGTTTTTTCCCCCAATGATTCAGACTCAACTCACAACTTGGAACCCACACACACCCTCCCTTTTTTTCTGGGGAAGAAAGCTTTTTTTTTTTTCAATGATTCGGACTCAACTCACAACTTGGAACCCACGCACACCCTCCCTTTTTTTTCTGGGGAAGAAAGCTCCTTTTTAATAGGGACTCGGGCTTGGGACTCAGGACTTGGTGCCAAAGACTCGGACTTGGACCCTCTTGGCCAAACATTGTTGCTTTGTGTATGCTTATAGAGAAAGGGACAAGTCCTTTTCAAAACTGAGGGATGCTTTGTTACTCCATTCAGCAAGGTGGACCCATATGATCATGTCTCCCTTTCACAGAGATTTTTTTTAAAAGTATTTTTCAGAACCACAATTTCCAGAATCCCCCAGGCAGCATGTTATCCCATTTTCTTCTAGCGGAAACACTGCTCATTAAGAGCTATATGGAAGATAAGGTTCAACACATGAATTTTTCTCCAACATATATATATGTTTGGTCTGCCATATGGTTGTTAAAATATGCACTGCCTCTGGCAGTAGGGGGGGAAATTGCAATCCTGTTTTAGGTTCCTAATGCAGTAAAATATTTATGGTAGCTAAAGGCTGATGGGCTGAAGTTGGTATTTCATCTTCATAGACATTGATTGCAGGGAATGTGATATGAAAGTTAGATCAGGTGTGCTACGTGCAACTCCTAGAGTAGGTGGTGAAGAAACAGCCTTCCTACCCAACCTTTCAGGGTGTATTTTCACCCTCATGAGACACTTATATCAGTTTGCCTTTTCTGTACAGACAAGCAAGGAGAAGCTCTGGTTTCACTTTTAGCAAATATAGCAGCAGTTTCTTAAAGGCAAACACTTTGGTTTATCCTTTTGTGCAGACAAAAAGATCCTTTTTTAAAAAAATTCAAGTGAACTTGAAATTGTGTTATCTTTTAAAAAAACGGAAGTTTGGTAGGCTTAGTTTGTAGCTTGGCTACCCCTGCATTTAAACAGCAGCTGATTATACCTGCTGTTAATTGTTTAATTTATCATTGCCGGATTTTTGCTGCCAAAGGTAGAGCAACATATGTGGGAGTTTTTTGCCTTCAGCACTGGTGTAAGTTGATTAGCCTGGGGTGCTTTGTACCCTGATTTTGTTCATAGGCAAAGGAACATGCCGTCTGCTGCTCTGTCACAGGCAGCAAAGAAGGAGGGGAAATATCTGGGAATGTGGGCATGCTGCCTTGTAAGTTTGTACAGCCGGCAGTGTGGATTGTGCATGCACATTCAGAAATAAACTCCACGGGGTTCAAGGTGGAGTTTGGATATAACATAATACAAATAACATTACTTGTGGTGCATTATTCTTGTTTAACAGCAAGGGGCTAACAACAGGAATTTAAACATGCAGTGAAACAATGTGTAACGTTCTTTCCATAGAATCACAGAATAATTGAGTTGGAAGGGGCCTATAAGGGCATCGAGTCCAACCCCCTGCTCAATGCAGGAATCCAAATCAAAGCAGAACTTTCCTGTAGCAAGGTACTGCTTACTTTAAAAATTCTGTGTGGACATTTTTTGGATATTTGGGGAGATTTAGGGTCATTTTGGAAAAATCATTAAAATTACTGCTGGGTAGAGCTCAGTGGCTTAGGTATCTCGTTGCAGAGGCAAAGGATGGGAGTTCAGTTCCCCACCGTGCCTCCTTGACACAGAGGCTGGATTCGATGATCCATAGAGTCCCTTCTAACTCAGCAATTCTAAGATGTATTATTATTATTCAAAAACACAAGACACAGTCAATCAAAATTATAAAAATATTGACTGGTATTATATGACAGATACAAGTTTTAACCCAAAACCGAAGTATTTGTTAAATGTTGGCACAGTATGTATGCGGTTCCTAATACTGCAATTTTTTGAAGCTCTGATGGTATTATTTCTGAGATCTGCAACTCATCATTATATTATTCATATACGGTAATCAGCATCAGCATCAACAACATAGAGAGGCAAAATTAGTTAACTGGTCGTTAAACATGATCAAGTGGCAAAATTAGTGCACTGGTTGTTATGCAAAAAATAATAAATTGCCAGCCTCCAAAACCCCATTGGAACATCAGGTAGAGAAGGTGTCAGAAAATGACACATCAAAATCCTGTGGGATTTCTGGATCCAAACTGATAGACACCTTGATCATAACACACCAGACAGAGTAGTAATAGAACAAAGAAATGCCTGGATCATTGACATTGCAATTTCAGGGAATGCCAGAGTTGGGGGGGGGGGTTAGAAAAACTAACAAAGTATAGAGACCTGGCAATTGAAACATCTCGCTTGTGGTTAAACACACTTCAGTAGGCCCCATAGTCATTGGGGCTTTGGGAACAATATCAAGAAATTTCACACTGTATTATAAGCAGTTGCAGATCTCAGAAATCACACCATCAGAGCTACAAAAAACAACAGTATTAGGAACAGCATACATATGGTACCAATATCTAACAGATATTTAGGTTTTTGGTTAAAACTTGTATCTGTTATATAATACCAGTCAATGTTTTTATAATTTTTATTGATTGTGCCTGGTGTGTTTGAATAACAACAACAATAATTAAGGGTTTAAAAAGTAAGGTGTTGTGTACATTAGTCCAGTGATAACATAATATGACAAATATTATCAAGAGTAATGTTAGTGAAATACTCTCAAAGAGCAGCAAGCAGTGAATTACCTTGAAAAAATAATGTACCAAGCTATGGTTCAAGGAGAGATTACTCTTAAGTAAATCTACATAAATTCAGGAATAACCCCTGAGTAAAAACATATAGGATCTATTTTGTTACAAAGATATTAGGAGAGAAGCCCCCTTAATTCCTTCTGGAAATGTTACATATGGATTCTCAAAGAGAGATGCTGTTGTTTTCATAGGGACTGTCATGGTGCCCTAAATTTGCCCTGTTCCCTTGGTCTATCAAAATCTCGGCACAAATGCTTCCCTGTCATTTCAACACATGAAACAGCTTATACCAAGAGTAAGCATTTGTGAATGCAAAGTGTGAGTTTCCTGCATGCAGAATGTAGGCCTTTTCAGAGCAGAATGCTCCTTGCCCTAGGTATTAAGCTGCCTTGGATTCCAGGAGCAAGCAAATCTTTCAGCACATGCATTTCTTAAATCGGTACTTGGAAGAGATTAAGATGCCCTGCCATGTCATGCAGGAGGAATTCAAATGTGACCTAGTTGTAAAATATTTTGTTGTTGTTTAGTCGTTAAGTCGTGTCCGACTCTTCGTGACCCCATGGACCAGAGCACGCCAGGCCCTCCTGTCTTCCACTGCCTCCCAGAGTTTGGTCAAATATTATATGACTCCAAAATATTATATAACTTCAAAATATTATATGACTCCAAAATCAAGTCATTTGAGCAACATGACATTTGCACATGTCTTAGGTGACAGCATGTGCAGATGACCCTAGATGCAGCAGCATGTTATACAAGCTCAGAAAACACCAGTGGAAAAAAAAAGACTAAAGATCTGCCCACTAATTTGTTGGGCCCTAATACGTCAGACTCTCCTATGACTACATTCCTGAGATTGTGAGTCAGTGTACTTTAGGGCCAGTGTAGCTCAGTGGAGTGAATCACCTGGCTATGGAGCCAAGGGTCAGGATGTGTATGGCGGCTGCAGTTACATGCCTTACCACTTGGGCTGCTCTGGGCAAACTGCACAGTCCCAGAGCACCATGAGAAGGAGGGACTGGTGACCCACTTCTCAGTACTTTATACCTAGAATATGTTAGGCAGATCACAATAAGCAAACCTGAAATGGCTTATAGATGACTTCATTCTTTGCATATAATACACTGACCAAAATCTTACTGAGGAAAACCACATGCATAAGGGCAAAACAGTGCAAACAGTTTCTCTCTTTTGCTTACTGTCTGTTGTGCAGCTGGGCGCACAAGTCCGTTTACTCTGTGAGTGTGAGAGTACAGTGGACAGCCTCCTAACCAGATAGAATTCTTTGCATGATTGTCCTTACATCTGGGATTCTGCCTTTAGAATCTGAGCTTACATATGTTAACTCAGAAGTATAACCTACTTAGTTCAGTGGGGCTTGCAGTCAGATCCAATATACATTTACTTGGGAGTCAACTCCCTTGATTTCAATGGGTTCTATATAAGTGTAGCCTGTACATACAGGATTGTGTGCAGATGTACTACTGAGAGTGGCTATGGTCCTGTACGTACTTACATGGAATTAAGTCCTCCTGAGTTCAGTGAATCTTATAAAAGAGCATGTACTGTGTATTGAATTCAACTTATCTAGGAAGACGTCCTCTTAATCATAGTGAGTTTTAATCTTGACTAACCATGGTTAAGATCAAGACAACTGGTCTAGAGTTACCCAGTGAAATTCTAGTTGAGTGGGAATTTGAACTGTTTTTCCCCAGTCCAGTGACCCTGACCAATGGACCACATTGGCTCCCTGCATGTAAATAGAGTTCAGTGGAACTTACATCCAAATATGGGAGCACAGGACTACAGGACATGGCTAGAGAGGCGGACCCATTATGTAGGATCATGAAGTACAAGAGGTAGGAATGAATGTTCAGGCTTTGGTAATAGCAGTTTGGTCTTTGCAGCTCTCTTTGAAATCTAACAGATCTTTAAAACAGGATATTTCATTGATTTCCTCCCTGGCTTATAGCATTCTATGTTTTGTCATTGTTCGCCATAACTGATTGGCCCATAATTGTTTTCTTTGAATTAGTTATTTAGAAGTTTTGAATGGAGTTCAGTTAAATCTGTTCCACCCCATATATTTGCAAAAGTTCTTCCAAAAGGAAAATAGTCATTTTATGAGCTGGTTCAGAGTTTAGTAGCACTAGTGCGTGTTCAGTATTCACCTCGCGGTTAATTGTTATATTGAAATCAATGTTCTCTTCTCACCCACAGCAAGCTTGGCCTAGTGGTACTCAGCAAATCCTGCTTCCTCCAGCTTGGCAACAGCTGACTGGGGTAGCCACCCACACCTCAGTCCAGCATGCAGCTGTAATCCCAGAGACCATGGCAGGAACCCAGCCGCTCACGGATTGGAGGTAAATAGCAAGAAAATCATGAGTTTGTCTGGAGAAACTCATTCTGCAAGGGCCTCACTATCCAGGCGTGGTATATTGTTGAAGGCTGCCTGTATGGTCTAATTTTCATTACACCATCATCATCATCATCATCATCATCATCATCATAAGTTGTCAATTCTGATTTATGGCGACCCTTTTCAGGGTTTTCCAGGCAGAGAGTATTTAGAAGTGGCTTGCCATTCCCTTCTTCTAGGGGCATCGGGACTGTGCAGCTTGCCCGAGACTGCACATGTGGGCCCTACTTGTAGAAAGCACAGTGGGGAACAGCCACAGGAGACTCTGGGCAGCTTTCAGCCAAGATGCTCTTCATTTTCTTCTGATGATGGTGACAGCATCAGTGTGGAAGAGATTGCCACTCTAGAATTGGCCTCTTCAGCCACACTAGACGCTGTTCCAAGTCCTCCATACAGAGCACGACACCATAGTCTTTCGAGACTGAAGGATGCCTAATGTAATGGTGACAGCAGCAGCTCAGGAAATGCCCTCTGCAAAGATACCTCCTTTGCAATGTCTTTGAACAGTTTAGAGTTGTTTATTTTCTTATATTCTATTACTCTATTGGGAACCATCCCTTGGGATTTATTTCTTTGTTCTTTACTATTATCTGTTGCACTCCTGCATGCTTACAGCACAGTGGGTATTATTTTGAAATTGCCAGGGTTGTGACAGATAATTACCACTTCTGATGGGAGCAGTACATCATCCACATCTAGTAAGCTGTATCTGCTGCCAAATATTGATAAGAACAAGCCCATTGTATCAATCTTTCTACATTTAAAACTTCACTCTGGAAAAAAAAAGCACTAGTGCGTGTTCAGTACATGGTGTCATACCCTTAGCTTCTGGCTTTCCAGATATTTGGGGTTTCATTTCCCAGAAGCCCTGACCATTGGACATGCAGGCTGAGACTTCTTGGAGCTGCATCCAAGAGCCAAATGCCAATGTTTGAGGAGAACTGGAGAGCCGTACACGTATTGCTGTTGGCCTTAGCTTTTCCTTGGCTTTTGTTTCCACCTGCATTTCTTTTGAAAAGTAGGTATTTAAGTGTTTAATTATTAAACAGCACTCCGAAGTACCTTTTAAACCAGCCATTTTCAATAGGGGCCTTGGCACATTTGAAAGGGACCACAGATTCATCTGTTTACGTTTCAGCCTTGTTTGCACACCGCCAAAGGTTTTCCTTTTTTATATACGTATGGGTCCCCAGAACCTGAGAAGAGCTCTTAAAAGGGCTGTGGCAAAAAAAAAGTTGAAAATAGCTGTTTTAAACCAGATAGAGAATTAATGGGGGTGAGAGTAGAAAGCCATTTCTAAGAAACTTGTTGTCACTGCTGATATGCATTCTTCTGGGTGTACTGGGAAGCAGTTGTGATTGCCATTTGTTTATAAACATTCTTTTCGAAATTCAAAAATCACCTTTCCCTCTGTTTTTCTTTTTCCAGAAATACGCACGCTCATGGCAGCCATTACAATCCCATCATGCAACAGCCTGCACTTTTAGCAAGTCATGTCACCCTTCCAGCAGCCCAGCCCTTAAACGTAGGTGTAGCTCATGTTATGAGGCAGCAACCAACCAGCACGACCTCTTCTAGGAAGAATAAACAACATCAGTCATCAGCAAGGTATGCATGGCCATGGGCGGGTGATTGGAAGGGCTGGAGGCAAGAAAGGTGTCTTCTGTTACCAACATTGCTATGAAGATACGGAGACATACTAGATGAAATATGAGGTGGCTAGTCCCCAATGTCCTCAGCTTCTCTTCTTCCTCTTAAGAAGAGAGAAAGTTTCACAGGAAACTAAAATATCAATAGAGCAGTAGAATAGAGATGTTCACAGTTCAGTAAAGGTATAGTTGTGATTATATTTCACATTTTTAAGTGCACGTCTAAAATTTGTAGTGAGTGAAGAGGCCATAACATGTTTTTATTTGTGTTGTATACAATATGAATACAGTATTTTGTATCAGGTAGGCAAGATTGAGTGACCAGTGGGAGAACTGAGTTTTCCCCTCTATAATGTGCGAAAAGGTTGCAGAATGAATGATAGGGACACAGGAAGCTGCCTTATGCCGTGTTAGACCAGTGGACCATCTGACTTGAGTGTTGTCCTCACGGGTTGGCAGCAGTTCTCCAGGGTTCAGCGGACTGGAAATGTGGCATCTACACTAACACAATAACATTAAATTGTTAAAGGACTCTAGCCAGTTAAATTTAAAACAGTAAATGAAAAGTATGTTAATTGGCTACACTAATCATTCTTACTGCATTATTACAGTTTCATTTTGAAAACAATCAGCAGTACTAAATAGAGTCAAATATGGCCCAACCGCCTGAAGTAACAAATTAAATTAATCATTTATTGTTCCTCAATTGATTGCTATTCAAAATTGTAACATCAGCAAAATTAAAATAGGAAATTTTAAAATTTGTGGAAAATTTTAACAATTTAAAAGGAATACATTCATTTTTAGTGATCTGCTCCTTCCAGGCTCAGATTCCAGGCTTGCCTGGAGATGTCAGAGGCTGAGCCTGGAACCGTTTGTGTCCAAGGCATGTAGTCTGCTACTGAAAATCCTTAGGAAAAGCTAGACTGCTCTATGGAATAAACTTCATTAGAAAATAGCCAGCAATCAGTTATGTTGTATTTGGTGCAAGTATGCATTCTTTTTATAACTGCTGCTGCTGCATAAGCAGTTGCTGCAGCCCTTCTTGTTAGCTTCATGTCTTGTTTTCAGTATTCATATACAGTGGTGCCTTGCAAGACAATTGCCTCGCGGGACGATTAATCCGCAAGACGATTAGTCTTTGCGATCACTGTTGCGCTTTGCAAGACGTTTTTTCTTATGGACGATTTTCGTAAGACGATGTTTGGGTCTATGCTTCTCAAGACGAGTTTTTTTAAGAGACGCTTTTTCGCAAGATGATGTTTTTTGACAGTTGGGTCCCTGACTCGCAAGATGATTTTTTAACAGACACTTTTTCACAAGATGAATGTTTTTCTATATTTATAAAGTTTTTTGATTTGACTTTGTTCTGACTTTTTTTTTGTCCATAGGAATGCATTAATTAGATTCCAGTGCATTTCTATGGGAAACCGTGTTTCCCAAGACATTTTTTTCTGCAAGACGACGATTTCCCCCCATTGGAATGCATTAATTAAATTTCAGTGCATTCCTATGGGGAACCACATTTCACAAGACGATCTTTTCACAAGACAACGTTTTTCGCAGAACGAATTAACATCGTCTTACGAGGCACCACTGTACTATTAGCAAATGATGCTTGATTATGTTGGCTCTGAAAAATAAGGGAGGGGGTATCAGCAAAGTTGGAGGAACTCTAAGGTTTGCAGAAGTAGAGAAAATCTTGAGGGGG